TCCCAAAAATGGCTCTACAACATGTAAAAACATAATATAAGCTTTGGCAGACTTGGTTCTATGGTAGGTCTTAAAGGGTTAAAGTACTGAATAAATTAATTGGATTGAGATTAAAAACATTTGTGAAGTTGTTTTGTAAGAACTCAAGCATTGGTGGATTCTGTTCACTATTTTCTGACTCTGCTTTTCTTAAAAATAAACATTGTATGCAATATGTCCAGGTCACTGGAAAGAGGCCCCGGGGCAGACCCACACTGGAGAGATTGTGTCTCTTGGCTTGCCTGGGTACACCTCAGTGTCCCCTCAGATAAGCTGGAGGTGGTAGCTGGTCTGGGCGTTCTTGCTTAGTCTGCTGCCCCTGTCACCTGTTCGCAGATAAGTTAATGAAAATGGATGGCCAGGTCTGGACAATAGATGCTGATGGTTCTCATTGTTGGTATAAAAAGTTTTACGACTTTGGCTAGGGTCAGGTTTTTATTGTCAACCAGCTGTGTCAGAGCATGCCTGAAAGAGCAAAAGCTTGAGGGTAGATCCTGGTTAATAGTGGTGGTTTCCTACCAACAGAGTTTGATAAAGAGGTGTTGGAAGTGCCACAGGTCCACCTCTCAACTCATACAACTTAAAATTATTTGTTAGGTTTGCCAACTCTGGGCCAGGTTTTATGTCGGGTTCTTTTAAACATGTTGGGGCTTCTGTGGCAAGAATTCCACAGGCTGTGCTGTGGGGTTCAAAGTGGCTGAAGAATGAGGAGAACAGAGGGATGACAATGTTGACTTTGGACCCGATCCTGAAAATAATAAGGCCTTGGATGGATGTCAAGCATGGGAAGTTTTTATAGTGACCCATTTTTCATATTGATGTTTTGAACTGGTCCAAACGTTTGAAGCAAAATACAGCGGTCCCTCATTTAGCGCGGGAGTTTTAAAAATAACCTGTGATGGGTAATATCTGCGAAGTAGCCAGCTCTATTTTTTTTTTTTTTACAATTATTATAGATATTTTAAGGCTGTAAAACTCATCACAACACACTTTATACACTTTTCTCAGACAGGCATGAACCTTTTCACACTTTTCTCTCCTGTTTAAACACTCCAAAAGTTCAAACCATCGTAGAAAAATAAGTCCAGTATTATAGAATGAAACCAAAGATCAAACACTGTTTTCAGGTCCAGAACATGGGAAATGGAGCAGCTGCGAGAGAATTCAACATTGATGAGGAATGAGTTGAGAAAAATTTGACTTATCTGACTGTTTTGTTTTGCTTAATGTGCCTTATAATGCAGTGTGCCTTATGGTCTGAAAAATAAGGTAAAGTCCAACTTTTTGTGCAATGGTTAGTGTTAGAGCCAATCTATAGAGAAATATTTTTGATACTGTTTCAGTTATTATGTTACATGTTTGATTTTGTATAATATGTTGTTAGAGAATAAATGCTGCGTGTTTAATTTGTGTCGGGTAAGAAAACATTACAGCGCATGTGTGGTAGCAGGTTAGAGTGAGCCAGGACGGCAATGGAAATGTGCGCTGTAGCAGCAAATAGTTTTTTGACCGTGACATCTTTTGTTTGTATGTACGAGTCAGAAATAAATCTGAACAGCTCACATTAAGAAGTGGAAGAATTATTTTTTCAAAGCTTGGGACAAAAATTCGCCAGTTAGCACAGTTAGCAACCACAGGTGCCTTTGACGTTGCAAAATGTTTCGTCTGCATTGTTGTGTTTGTTGGGGAGAAAACCTACCAACATACAGTACAGCACTTTTCAGAGTCACACTGCTAGCAATCAAGGATTTATGTAAATTTGACAAGCTGAAAGCATTCTGTACTGTACAGGAGACACGGCACGGAGGAGATCGATTGACGATGGTCTACAGCCAATCAGGAGGCAGAACACAACGTATAATTGCACCAAAAAAAAATAAAAAATCCGCGAAACTGCGAGACTGCAAAAGGTGAACCGCGTTATAGCGAGGGACCACTGTATTAAAGGAACCAATTTCAGGACCATGGACAGTGCGTACATTTTTCACCATGTTCACATAAGCTATACTCTAGCACATGTGCTGTTTGAGTGGTCGACCATACTAAACAAATCCAGTGGAAAAAAATGTACACTTGTATAGAAATAAATGTTTGTCAATCAGGCATTTCCAGTTTAAAGTGATGTCATTTATTTTTATAGAAGAATGCAAAAGAATTCAATTATTGTCGGCTGGTTTACAGTCCTGCCTGTCAGTTCCTGAATCCTGTGTGCATTATAACAACTCTCTACTAGACTGCAACTGTTGGCGTACAATTAACATAGATGTGTATGACCTACATTTCTATGCGTTTTACAATTAACAAGCTGCACCTGCCCTGTTAGAAACGACCCCCAGCTAAATATCTTGTTAGTTTGTGACAATGCGCAGCTCTTGGCAGATTGGGTCATAATGAACTGAACATACTCTGACTGTGTTTGGAAAACGGTGCAAAACTAGCCACATCTATCAAAGCAATTTGGGGGATTATACAATCTATGTGTCTATTTAGGTTCATGTAAAACACTCTTGCACTTTGCAATACCTGATGGTATTTCATCCAATGCCATCAGGGAGCGTTCTGGCTGTCCTGTGTTCGTTCTGTTGCATGATAACAAGTACATCTCTGTAGCCAGAGTCCTAAAGAACTATCTTCAGTGACACGAAAAAAGAAAAGGATTCCTGTAATAGTCTCCACAGAGACTCCGCCGAGCCTTCATCTCAGTATTGTGGAGTGAGTCTGGGTTACATGAAGGGGAAGAAGTCACTGAAACAATCTGAATGCACAGAAGATACTTTGAACAAACTATATGCCAATTATCTTGAAAAAATTATGCACAAGTGTACCCAGGAGAATTGCTGGCAATTTGAAGGCAAAATGGGTTGTCATAACAAATATTAATAGAAGATGTAAAAAAAAAGTTTATGATTTATTAAAAGAAATAATTCTCACTGCTACTGCCTAAAAACTGCGTGGCTCTAATATACTATAATGAGACTGGGGACATGTTGCTTTTATACTCTTGTCAGTATGACCAAGCATTGCACAATTTCATCTGGTAATTTGCCAATTTGTTTATCCGTATGTCCTTACTAAATTTTCTTCTTGTTTCTGCTTAGTGCCAGCACAATTCAAGCATGGATGATTACATTTTTATTGTGTCTTACAGAGCATCCTTGGAAAGATCTTAATGGGGAAGAAATGACAAGGACTTGGCAAATAAACGGATTTCTATTGACTCTCATTGTAGCTTTTGGAGCTTTTTCCTGTCGCGTCATCTAATCCTTTACAGGCGCGCAAAAAAACAGACATAAAACCTTAATATATTACCGTGTCATGTCGTATCGTTATGTCTCTGCTTACAGGAATGGACAGTGATGGCTCCATGCACAAAAAGAGTCTGTCGCTTAAGCTCAGTAATCCCAGAACAGTGCTCAAGGAAGCATTTTCTTCTCATTAGCAAAATGGTGAATGATGTAATTTCTCCAAAGAATGGTGTCTTATTCTTCCAACAGAGCTTCAGTTACTTGCGAAATTTATGTGTTAGCGGCTGGCCTTATTCTATCTGCAATTAGCTTTAATTTGCTGTGATCTCTGTAGCTGCCGCAGTTCAAAGCCATTAATGTTTTGACCTTGTATGTGAGTATTTGTGACTGTTAGGTGACTGTAGATAGCTGCGACCGCCTCCACAGTGTGCCTGTTGTACACACAAGAACTCCACCACCTTTCCTGTGTCTTTGTAGTGCAACTGAGTGTTACAGAATCCTTCCTGCCACTGTTAGAGATAATTGGCACTCCATAAACACATGATAATTGGACTGCTTTGATCCCTGCAATTTCTCACTTCTTGGCCAAAGAGGCACAGCAGTTCTGTCTCATGTTTACCACTAGTCTTTATGTGGCAGCGAGAGAGGATGGAGAGAGTGAAACGGGGGAGAGAGAGAGAGAGATTCTGTTTTCTTCTGAAGTGTTAAAAGCTCCCTGCAGGCATTACTTCCTGCATCCAGCCTCTTTTGCCATTGTTTCTCCGCTGCTTATGGCCATGACTCATAACAAACTTTCTCTTTCGCACACACATTCACACACGCAGAGCTTAATCACGTTGCGAAAGTCTTCAAGTAATCTTGTTTCTCCTTGTTTGTCCGTGTGTCTTCTTTTCCAGAGAGCCAGAGGGCGTATCGCTTTGTCCAGGGGAAGGACTGGGGTTTCAAGAAGTTCATAAGGAGGGACTTCCTGTTGGATGAGGCCAACGGTCTGCTGCCTGATGACAAACTAACTCTTTTCTGTGAGGTAAGAGGTGGAACTGTTCATTAAAACTCATGTTGTTTGTTGAACTAATTTCACGGTGTCTTCATTTTTAAGCATTCCCAGTAGAAATTCACAGTACAGGCTGCACCTCCAAAAATGAAAATCCTTATCATCAAAATGATTGTTCATGAAATGGGATATTTCAACATTGACATCATGTTCTGAGCTGTGTTTCTATTAGTTGAGCTATTTGGATTAACCCAGAATATATCATTTTTATTAAGCCAAACCTATAATTATTCAACTTTGCTGAAATACCTACATTTCCTGTGTTTTGGTGGTTTTGCCCACAAGTGATCACAACTCCTATTTCACTGAGTTGTTTTTCGTCACTACTACTTATTCTATGTCCCTCTTAGTTAATAATGTATGTTTTTATTGCTACTACATACTCTCTGGGTTTCTCTCTTTCATCACTAACATACAAGCTGATTGTCATTCATCCTGCATGGTGGCTTGGCTCCGATTCCTCTGATCCAAATCTGGCTGCTGCTCCTCATTGAAAATCCCCTTGTTGTTTTTCAGCTGTAACACAGGGGGCAGCAGAGGTCAACTGTCCTCTCTCTCGTTCCCCTCTGCTACTCGTAATGGAGCCAGGGAGCAGAGAAGAGGTTAAACTTTCCGGATATGTTAATGCCTTACTTGTAATGCATGCACCCCATAAATGTTTAAAAAGCATGGCAGTGGCTGTTTAAAACAATTCTAATTAACCCTGCGGGTATGGAGGGGAGCATGTCTTGAAGTTTTCCCTTTTTGTAGCGGTGCAGTGTGCAAGTCTGTTTAAAGTGTTTCCAAACCGGGCTTATCGACAGAGGGGTAGGAGGGGCAGTTCTGCTTCTCCAGAGCCATGAGGGAGGGGGTAGAATTGAAAAGTGTGTGTGTGTGGTATCGTATACATATTGTGTGTGTGTGTTTGGTTTCATCCACTCTCCTGAAAGGAAAGAGATGGGGTTGCTGGTTCAAGTCCTCGGTGGCCACTTCCCCCCCTGTAAATATCTGTTGCTGCTGTAATTAGCCAGCTCCGCTGATGAACAAGCAGGACGGCGGAAATTTATATAGCACATTTTAGAGAGAAAAAGTGCTATATATGAAAATTAGATAAATGGAAGATGGAGACATTGGAAGTTTTCATCAGCATAACAGCAAACATTTTTTTTAAACTCTAGAAACATTTGGAGGAATGTCCCTAGGTGACCTGAGAGGCGCACAGAGTTTATTTTCTCAGAGAAAGTCAGATGTGATATATAGACAGGCAGCAGTGTTTTTAGAATCAATTCTGAAAGAAAAAAAATACTGCAAAGGGAGTGCGTTATTCGAAAAAAGGCAGTCTGGAAGTGGGGTGTTTTGCGCGGTAGTGATGAAATTGCCAATATTGAGGGGAGTGGCAGTATTTTTCACCAACATGTGTGAAGAATGGTTGGCAGAGTTAGTTACTGGGTGGAGCATAGTGGGTGGATGGTGGTAAGAAAGTGTGGACGGGTGTTTGGATCTCTTTTCCTGGTCTTTTTCCATGTGAAAGTGATGCCCAGTGTTTACTGTCAGAGACCTGGCTCCACTTTCGTCCAGATGGTCCCATCCTGCATCTGAGAGAGCCCCATCGCCCCAGAGCCCAGCCCGCTCCCTCTTCTCTCTTCTCTCATCTCTTCTCCTTCCTCTTTTTCCCCTCCATCTTATCTCTCATTCAGACCCAATCTCCTCCTCCTCTTTTCCCTTTTCCTTTCATGTCTTGCTGCCTCCCACTTGGAGCATCACAGTTTCTTACTTTTTTTCTCCTCATTCTACCTTCACCTCTGCTTCGTATCCCTTGCCTCTCCCGTCTGCTGAGCGTCTCTACTTTTACTTCCTTCCTCTTTTCCCCCCCTTAATTCTTCCTCTTTTAGTATTTCTAGTAGAGTGTCAGAGGAAAAAAGGCTATGAAAAGAAGCCAGATTAAGGTTGGAGGGGGGAACTGACTCAGCCGCTCCTCCTGACCCCCTGGTCTTTCTGCTCGGTTCGGTTGCCTCCAGAGACATTAGTAATTCAAATTTAACACAGTGAAATCTGTCTATGTCTGTCTATGTGTCATGTCAGAAAGTGCCTAAACAATAGCTGATGTGTTTTCTCTCTGTCTCTTCCTTTGTCTCCATCTCTTTTTGTCTTTCTATCCCTGCCAAACCACTGCAGACACCTTGCAGGTATTTAATGAGGAGATAGCTCCCATTAAAGGTGCTGCGTTGGCTGTCAAAAGAGAGCATGAGGGACAGGGGGAGATAAAAAGGAGGGGACGAAGGCACAGAGAGAAGAGACTGAAGGAAAAGCCTTATTGCGAATGTGGGCACAATGGGTGGCATCAAGCCGCAGGGGTAAAGAACAGATGAAGATGGAAAAATAAAAACGATAAAGGACAAAAACAAAAGGCCGAGATTGGTTTGGAGTTGTTTTTTTGTTTTTGTTGTTTTTTTACCTTCATTTTGCTTCCTCCTCTAATGGGATGCTGAGGTAAGGGAGGTTAAACCCTCTCTCTCTGTAACTCACCTTCAACCTCTAGCTCTAAGGTCAAACCACTGCTTATCCTCTTGTTCATGCTACAGGTAATGCAGATGCTTAAGAGAAATTTTAGAGTAATGCCAGACTCACTGGGGAGGACCAGTGGCTCCTCAAAAAAAAACCCAACAACTTTGGGCTGCCGTTATTTGCCTGCCGGCAGAGTCGTGTTGACTGACAATGTAAGAGTTAGTCAGAAAGTCTGTTTTGATTGACTAAAGGGGAAAGAAGAGGTTGTTTTGGAAAGTTTGTAGTGAAACGTACCTGTCAGTCATTGTAAATTGGCCACTGAAAAGCAGAGGCACAGTGGTCCCCTTTTACTCCGTTAGAACTAGAGTCACAGAACTGACGTTGCTGCACAGATATGGTTTATTTCTCCTCCTGTCCTGTCTGCTGTGGCTTCAGGGCCTTATTCCAGGAAGTGTATTCAACAAACTTTGAGTTTATTTTTAAACTCAAAGTTCAGCAACTCTGAGTGTCCTGCTCCAGTATGGTGGGTCAGAGTAAGTTTGGACAGCTCTGAGTATTTTCTTCCTGAGTTAAGCATGTGCACGACTAGAGAAAGGAAGCCATCATCGGACCAACATTTTAATCTTTTGGCCATCATCGGACCAAAAGAGCGTGCACCATGAGACTTAGCTTGTATAGCTCTATCATAAACATAGACAGAATAAAAGTTTGATACAAAAATAATATTTTTTTTAATACCGGTCAACTTGAATTTTCAATAGAAGCTGGAATCCCTATTTCAAAGTTCAACCTGCTGGGGACAAAATGCAGGTGAAAAAAATGACAGAGAAACAGATAAGACAGTTTACTAATTGACCCGTGACATTACTTATCCAGATAGAAATAAACTCTGGGGTGGATCCACCCTCAGGCAGTTTTTTAAAATTATATAAATAACCTTTTTTAAATATTAAGTAAATGTTTAATAGGTTTCAGTAAGTGTTAAAATGTAAAATCTGACGTAATAGTTGACTTCATCCTTAAATTAGCATCTTACTGATTAGCACTTATGTTAAGTACTGGGATTTTCAAGTTTGTGAAAATAAAAACTT